CACACATGTCCTTATATTACACACTACACACATGTCCTTATACTACACACTACACACATGTCCTTATATTACACACTACACACATGTCCTTATATTACACACATGTCCTTATATTACACACTACACACATGTCCTTATATTACACACTACACACATGTCCTTATATTACACATTACACACATGTCCTTACAGTACACACATGTCCTTATATTACACACTGCACACATGTCCTTATACTACACACTACACACATGTCCTTATATTACATACTACACACATGTCCTTATATTACACACTACACACATATCCTTATATTACACACTACACACATGTCCTTATACTACACACTGCACACATGTCCTTATATTACACACTACATACATGTCCTTATATTACACACTACACACATGTCCTTATATTACACACTACACACATGTCCTTATACTACACACGTCCTTATATTACACACTACACACATGTGCTTATATTACACACTACACACATGTCCTTATATTACACACTACACACATATCCTAATACTACACACTACTCACATGTCCTTATATTACACACTACACACATGTCCTTACACTACACACGTCCTTAAATTACACACTACACACATGTCCTTATATTACACACTACACACGTCTTTACACTACACACTACACACAGATAATATTTCTACATGTGTGTATTTGTGTGTTTTTGTTTTCAGAGAATATTGATCAATATGTTTGTTCTGACTAAATCATGTCGTGTGTTTGTCAGATGATTCTAACAGGAAGTCACCGACTGCAGAATATTAGATTATTTTACTGCTGTAAATTCTCAGATGACAACTCAGTGTTTTCGTAGAGTCCTTTCTCACCTGACCTGTTTGGTTTGGTGAAAATGAACCAGGTCTGTTTGTTAGTGTGGTTTGGGCTGGTGTGAAAGTTGTCAATCAAGTGCAGTGTAGTGTAGTATAATATAGTATATCAATCAATCAATTTTATTTATAAAGCCCAATATCACAAATCAAAATTTGCCTCACAGGGCTTTAGTAAAGTATAGTGTAGTATAGTATAGTATAGTATTGTGTAATGTAGGGTTGTGTAGTATAGTATAGTATTGTGTAATGTAGAGTTGTATAGTGTAGTATAGTATAGTATTGTGTAATGTAGAGTTGTATAGTGTAGTATAGTATAGTATTGTGTAATGTAGGGTTGTCTAGTGTAGTATTATATAGTATAGTACTGCGTAATGTAGGGTTGTGTAGTGTAGTGTAGTATAGTATAGTATAGTATTGTGTAATGTAGGGTTGTGTAGTGTAGTATTGTGTAATGTAGGGTTGTGTAGTGTAGTATAGGGTAGTATGGTATAGTATAGTATAGTATTGTGTAATGTAGGGTTGTGTAGTGTAGTGTAGTATAGTATAGTATAGTATTGCGTAATGTAGGGTTGTCTAGTGTAGTATAGTGTAGTATGGTATAGTATAGTATTGTGTAATGTAGGGTTGTGTAGTGTAGTGTAGTATAGTATAGTATTGCGTAATGTAGGGTTGTCTAGTGTAGTATAGGGTAGTATGGTATAGTATAGTATAGTATAGTATTGTGTAATGTAGGGTTGTGTAGTATAGTATTGTGTAATGTAGGGTTGTGTAGTGTAGTGAAGTGTAGTGTAGTATAATATAGTATAGTGTAATGTAGGGTTGTGTAGTGTAATATAGTATAGTATAGTATAGTATTGTGTAATGTCGGGTTGTGTAGTGTAGTGTAGCATAGTATAGTGTAGTACAATACAGTATAGTATAGTATAGTATAGTATAGTATTGTGTAATGTAGGGTTGTGTAGTGTAGTATAGTGTAGTATTGTGTAATGTAGGGTTGTGTAGTGTTGTGTAGTGTAGTGTATCGCCCAACCCTAGGCCTCGGTTCAGTTGTTTGATCCAGACCAGTGTTCGATCAGCAGCTTTCAGACCATCCCAAACGAACTGTACTAACAAACAGACCTGAGTTGGTTTTAATCGAACAGGTGAGGAGTGAAAGCAGCTTTAGACTGCTGATCAGATTTTTGAGTTAGAGATGGAGCTGGTGTGTGTTTGAACTCAGGTTATTTCATAACTGTGAAACATTCAGACTGTGAGCAGGATGAGATCTGAAGCGTCAGGGGTCGTTTAGAGTTGAAATGATTAGGAAATATTTGAGGCTACATTTTTAGAGTTCTGGGCCCGTAGTCACAAAGATTCTCAGAGTCCTCTCAGAGAGCTCCTAACTTAGCCTAAAAATTCCTAGCAAGGAATCTTAGCTTAAGAGTGATTCAGGAAGTTTCTGAGAGCAACTCTGAGCAAGGAGGGGACAGAAACTTTTATCTCAGTGAGGAGGTGTGGTTGACCCCATTGCTAGGTATGACGCAGTCTTCTAAAAGCTGTGATTGGTTGTTACAAAAAGAAAAAAACAAATGCGTTCCTAGTAATGAATGGACAGTGAAATGAACCGATCATAGAACGTAGACTGTATTAAGAAATGTGTAATCGTGAAAATAATTTTATGTCAGGATGATGAAACTCAGCAAAATTAAATTAATTGTTACACAGCTTCAAAATGTTTGAACGTACCTCATTCACATGCCGATTATTGTATTGATTTACTTAATGTTATGTTTACTCGCCATGCTGGTAATTTTACTACTTAATCTATTTGATATTAATGGTGGACGCAGACTCAGCTGTCAGCAGTTACTGTGATTGCTGGCCTCCTTGTAAAAAGCGGTTTGATTTGGCAGAATGACCAAAACAACAAATGAAATGGAGAAAAAAAGAACGAGAAAGCCGAACTGGACAGAAGAGCAGTGCCTGCTGTTGGCACAGCTCATGGAGGAGAACAAAGGAGTTTTAAAAGGGAAATTCGGTCCCGGGATCATGGCACAAGGCAAGAGGCAGACTTGGGAGCGCATTGCCCGACAAATCAATGCGTCGTTCCCTCTCCTTTTACGCACAAGCGATGAGTGTGAGAAGCGCTGGTACGTGCTGCAATCCAAAGCAGGTGTTATTGCGTTACTATGCTGGGTGGGAAAAGTAAGCTCATCCCTGATGAGGTCAACCACAACCATTATCCACTATCAAGCGGGTAGCGTCTTATTAAATCACTGTCGTTCAATATACGGAGAATATCTCTCCTTCCTCTCTGTCTTTCCGCCATCTTCTCTGTTTAAGACACTCTTAGGCTCCTTAAAAGTCCTCCTCCCTCCTCTTAACAGTTTTTCACCTTAGGAGCTCTCTTAAGGCCTAAGATGCTTTGTGAATAACTTTTATCTTAACAAGGGAAAATTCTAAGAAAAATCTTAGAATTCAAGGAATTCTAAGATTTTTCTTAGAATGACGTCACTAAGAGCTACTCTTAGTCTTAGGATTCTTTGTGAATACGGGCCCTGATCAGTTTTAGATTTGACCTTTGATCTGTGATGTCTGTCTCCGTCCTCTGCATGTCTCTCTACAGTGTCTCATGTTTCTCGTCTTGTTGGTGTGTTTTGTTCTTTCAGGCTTCTTTTAGCTTTCAGTATTCGTCTGCTGATGAGGTACAGCTCCCAGCATGCAGCTCTGAACTGCATCAAACCTTCTGCTTTAGCTTCACTCAGCGACTCCACCGCACATTCAGTCCACCTTAAACATCATCAATCAGTAATCAATAACTAACCCCTCACTCCGCCCTGCGTCTGGTTTTTAAACGCTGAACAACATGTTTGAACTCAGAAAGACAGAGAAGAGGAAACCTACATGAGAACAGTTTTTTACACAAACCAGAACCAAACACGAAGATGCTTTGTGTTGATGAGACAGGATGGAGATCAGAAACGAGCTGCTGATTGATCACATGGAACCAACTGTCGATCTGTAATGCAGCCTCAGTTTGGATCCTGAGTTTGTGGTTTGTTGTGTTTCCTGACAGCAGCATACGTGTCTGAACTAAGAACATTAAATATCTGTAATATCTTCCTCCTCCTCCTCCTTTTCCTCCTTTTCCTCTTCCTCTGTCAGCTGACACAAAACAACATGATTCACAGATATGGCTCTTTGATACTTTCTCAGGATCCATCTGAAGTTACTAATCAGCAGCTTATTCGAGAACATTTCAGACTCTGGGACAATTCAAAGGACTTTACAGAGAAATTAAAAAAAAGCTTTGAATTTTGTTTGTTTTTTATATTTATTTTGACAGTGCTGATTCAGTGCCTTTGTGTTTTTAAGATGCGTCTTTGCCGTCTGCCATTAAAATCGTGTTCAGACCAAAGATTCATGATGAGTTCAAACTAACTACTGTCAACGCTCTGTTCTGTAACGTAGTAAAAAGCTGGCGATTGACAGGAAGTGACCACGATAAGATGGTGTATCATCTGTAGTCAACAACTCTCTGTGCTTCTGATCTGTAACGTTGACAGGAAGTGACCACCATGAGACGGCGTATCATCTCTAGTCAACAACTCTCTGTACTTCTGATCTGTAACGTCGACAGGAAGTGACCGCCATGAGACGGCGCATCATCTCTAGTCAACAACTCTCTGTACTTCGTTCTGATTTGTAGCTTTTCAGACTTATTTTGTGGCTGAATATAATTTGTAGCTTCTTAAAATCTGAATGAGGATAGTGATCGTGAGATGCTGGCTACACTGATGAAACAAAACCAGCATCAGATGGACTGTATTCATAATCAATACGCCACAATAATATAAATAACCAGAGGAAACAGAGGGCTCGGCGGGGACGGAGCACCTGCCGCAGCAGACTTCACTACAAGCTGATTGGCTGTTGAAACAGGTGACGTGCTTTAAAACCAGCCGCCGGCCATTTGACCAGCTGAGTGTCAGGTGACATCATCAGGCGGCCCGAGTCGAGCTCAGACCGGCCAGTTCACAACACTGACACTACGTTCTGAAACGGTTTCATATCGTCATGAATCTTTGGTCTGAACTGGGCTTCAGGGAGCTGCAGGATAAAAACAATGTCCTTGTTAATCTGTTCTTCATGGCTGCAGAATTTTACTGTCACAGATGTGTGACCTTCAAACGTCCTCTGATAACGTGTTTCCTCCAGTTCTTTAAAATCTGTTTTTCTAAAAGAAAACACTTCACACATTTTAACCAAAATGTCCCCAGACTGAGACTGAGAGTCTGTCCAAGGCAGAAGGCCTCACAAACAGCTGTAAATCACCTGGTCCCTAAAACTTTAAACTCCACCCATCTGAGCCTGAGAGAACGTTGAATCAAGCGCTCCGTCTGTAGGACGCTGACAGGTTGATGGTGGCAGGAAGGAACATCTTTCATGCACAGCAGTTACCAGAGCTCACTTCCTACATCAGTGCTATGCAAGTCACTCCATCATCACCCCCCCAGCGCCCCCCCACCCTCCCATCACATGACCTCCTGTGCCTGTGTGACCTCACTTCCCTCCTTAAAAATGGTTCTGAAGTTTATGAACTCATTTCTGTTCCAGAAACAAAACATGTCATGATATGAACCAACACGACTCTGTTAACGTTCCCATGCTTCTCTTAAAATTCATGATCTTCAGTCAGCTGATGATCGAACACAAAATGAACCTGCAGTTTTTAGTCTGAGGTTCATATCAGGTGAAGGTTTGTGAAACAGAAATGATGGTGTTAACTCCCTGCAGGCGGTGAACGCCTCTCATCGGCTCCCTCTGCCTTCGCTCCTTCATGGTGTTCCTCTCTAACTCTTCATCGCGTGACGCCGCTCACTCCTGATTGGTTTATGTTCCTCAGATGTTCATCGATAACTTCCAGACGGCTAAAGAAGCTCTGAGCGCCGCCACGGCTCAGGCAGCGGAGAAGGCGGCATCCAGCGTCCGAGGCTTCGCCCAGAAGAGTTTCCGTCTGTCCATGGACATCAAGCTGAAGGCTCCGCTCATCATCATCCCCCAGTCCTCCACCTCCGAGAACGCTGTGATGGTGGACCTGGGTCTGATCACAGTGGGGAACAGCTTCTCTCTGCTGCCAGTGGAAGGGTTCTCTCTCCCTGCCGTCATGGAGAAGATGGACGTCTGTCTGACTCAGCTGAAGTTGTCCAGGTATAAACACAGAACTCCAGAGTCCGAGAACACAGCAAGAACTTCTTGAGAGCGTTCTCCTGTCTTCTGAGTCATAACACTACTAGGTCACTAAGTTTAGCGAGCCACACTGCTCACCTGAGCAGCGCTGCTCAGGTGAGCAGTGTAGCTACTCTAATCTATGAACACAAGCGCCAGAACAAGTGTGGAGTTAAAAATAAGTATTAGTTATAATCAAAACACCATTTTCATCGTCTTATTTTTGTTCTGTGGAAAGAAAGACTTGACTCTGAATTGGTAGACATTTGACGGCAGAGAGCGCTGCTGACGCAGGTGCAGGTCTGAACATATGACCAGTTTCTGAGTGAGTTCGACTGAAGGTCTTTTTTAAATCTTCATCAGGCAGAAATTCACCCGGTTCTCTACAGAGAGGAGATGACAGAGGAACAGAACATTAAAACAGAGATGCAGTGAAGAATGAATTTCTGTGTGTTCTGATTGGATGTCTTTAAACGCACCGACAGGAAGTCACTGCTGATGAAACAGAAGCTGATTAAATGTTGAACGAATGTGATTTTAGAACCACACTGAAGCAAGATGCCTCTCAGCCCGACATCGAGATCCTCCAGCCGATCAACTTGGAGCTGCTGGTCACCAGGAACTTGGCTGCTTCCTGGTTCACCAAGATCCCTGGAGTCCAGGTCCAGGGAGTCCTGCGGTCCCTCGATGTACGTGTCTCATGTTGATTGTCGTTGAACTGTGATGTTCTTCAGAACGAGACGTTACCCAGCAAGCAATAGTCATTATTTAAACGTATTGGCTATATTTAGCTCCGATTTAGTCTAGCTACATGTAACCCAAATCTAGCCGATTTAATTTTGAAATTGATTAAATGTCATTTTCGCCATTGCAGATGGCGTGCGGTATGATATTCAATCACGTATGGAGAGTCAACAGTAATTAAAATATGTTTATCTCCATTTTTTGGACATGGTCTCTAAATAGCCGTATAATTGATGACGTCTACACTTTGGCTATGGTTAGACGTCTACCAAATTTTCACTGACAGCCCAAATTCAGCCGTGATTTAGCCTAGACGTCAGGTCTTCATGTAGACAGCTATTAGACATTTTTTAAACCAAAAAATGCTTGCTGGGTAAAGTGATCTGTGTTCCTCAGATGAGTCTGGGAAAGGAAGATCTCGGTGTGCTGATGAAGATCCTGGTGGAGAACATCGGGGAGGGGAGTAAAGAACACAGCATGGACGTCAGACGACAGGTGGTCCAAGGTAACCTGACCCAGTGCACGATAAGAAATCTGTTTCGTCCTGTCCCTTTGAGTTCTGCTGTCAGGAACAGCTTCATGTAACGCTCAGATCTGCAGACGGAGGAACAAGTTCTCTAATCAGCAGTTGTCCTCCACAGAAAAGGTAGAGTTAGCTGAGCAGCAGGTGGAGGTGGTGACATCGCGGATGGGATCTTACAGTGTGTTGGCTGCTACCAACGGGGCTCAGACTGAGAACACCATCAACGTTCTCCTGAACTTTGAAATCAAAGAGGTAAAACATCTACAAATGCTAAGATTAGATAAGATAAGATACACCTTTATTGATCCTTCAATTGAGAAATTCCAGTGTTACAGCAGTCAAAGGGAAAGAGTCAGATTAAAGATTTAAAAATTTAAAAAACTTAAAAAACTAGGCATACAAAAAAAATACAACAGCAATAAATAATAATAACAATAATAATAATAATAATGATGAGCAGTGGATAAAAAGTGAGCATATTTAGTGCAAAGTGAAAATTGTATGTGGAAATAAAAAACAACATGGGGGACAACAATGCTTATAGTGGTGTTTATAAAGTGTCCATGGTGTCAGTAAAGTGTCCATGGTGCAGTTTACTGTGAGCAGTGCTGGTTATGTAGCCTGACAGCAGCAGGCAGGAAGCACCTGTGATAGCGTTCCTTCACACACTTTGGGTGAATCAGTCTATCGCTGAAGGAGCTCTCCAGAGCTTTTATCTCCTCCTGCAGAGGATGGGAGTCATTAGTCCTCAGGGATGACAGCTTGGCTGTCATCCTCCTTTCTCCCACCACCTGCACAGAGTCCAGAGAGCATCCCAGGACAGAGCTGGCCTTCTTGATCAGCTTGTCCAGTCTCTTCCTATCTGCAGCCAAGACACTGCTGCCCCAGCAGACCACTCCGTAA